GTATACATCACATATTAGCACAAAAAAAAAACTAGATATTTTGAGCACTCAATTGAAAATGTACACACAACGTATCAATCGTACTTACAGGTTGTGGTTAGGAGACGCTTGTTGGTCCAAATAAAGAAGATTACAAGCCAACATAGATAAAAGGCAAGATTAGAGAAGCAGTCCTCGGTAAAATGACGAGCACAACAAAAGGTTCGAATTGTATTGCTGTGGTATCGTGGAACACAGCATCTTCTCCACACAGAGAGTGTTCGTATTTCGTGGGCAGGCCGGGATTATGCTAGTGTTACCCAGTGACGTAGATCGGTAACAGGCAAAAGATTCGAAAATATAATGACTGGTTAAGGCTATTCTTAGTCGACTCTTTCTTTTGAGAGACAATATCTTTATTTATCATGCACTTTTGTGATTAACAACTTTGCAGACTGTTTACATTGAAGGATAGCTACCTTACAAACTGCAAAAGAGATATTTTTCGAAAACCCATATGACCTGCTCGTTAAAAAAAAATAAACATTTGTCTCATATGCATAATGAGATAAACTGAAAGGTTCCTGTACCTGGTGGCATGCCTGGCATCATTGGGGGCATTCCATGGGTAGGTGGCATCATCCCACTCATTGGCATCATGCTATTAGTTAAAATTAACAGGAAGGAAATTTTCAACTGACAATGCAAGAAGCATGGATTAAAGGGATGGTTCACTGTTTTTTTTCTAGGCTTGATTGTGTTTATGGGGTGCAGTCTAACATGTGTTAAAGGGGTCATATGATGTTGCTAAAAAGAACATTATTTTGTGTATTTGGTGTAATGAAATGTGTTTATGCAGTTTAAAGATAAAAAAAACACATTATTTTCCACATACTGTACATTATTGTTTCTCCTCTATGCCCCTCCTTTCTATAACGCGTCGATTTTTACAAAGCTCAGGCGGGGTTCATCTGGGTTTGTTACGTCACAAACCCGGGAAGTAACTTCTTGCAGTCCATACCAGCCATTTTTGTAGGCATTAAACTGCCAGAATTTTAAAATACGATATCTCCATTTGCAATGAACTTTCAGCTTCGTAACCACCCCTTTAATCACAAAAAATTTATAAATAAAATCATTCTAATTCTATTAAAGGGGTCATATGATGCGATTTCAAGTTTTCCTTTCTCTTTGGAGTGTTACAAGCTGATTAAGAATAGATAAGATCCCTAAAGTTGCAAAGACTAAAGTCTCAAACCCAAAGAGATATTCTTTATAAAAGTTAAGACTGGTCCACCTGCTGGAAGGAGGGACCAGCCTCTTCATCCGAGTCATCTTCATCGGAGTCATCTTGCTGTTTTTTCTTTTGATTTTCTGTAACCAAAAAAGGAGAATATTGTTACCATGGGTTCACTTGGGCTACAAAAAGAACAGATGAGTAAACTGGAATTTAAATGTTCTACCCTGTGTTTTTTGTTCAAGCACACGTCTCCTCTCCTCCACGTCTTTCTCTGGAATACCCTCCATTCCATAGATCTCCAGCTCTATGTCAGTCCTTCCCGGTATTGCATTAGGGACACCATCAATGGTTTCTTTGTGAACCTTTAATATATCAAACAAAAACATACAGCAAATTAAACTTTATATATATACACATACACACATACACATACATACACACACACATATACATATACATACATACATATATATATACATACA